TAATACTATGTGTGTGTGTGTGTGTGTGTGTGTGTGTGTGTGTGTGTGTGTGTGTGTGTGTGTGTGTGTGTGTGTGTGTGTGTGTATTGATAATAATGTGTAATATTTATCAATATTTTATTCTATAACAAAAGAATTATGCGAACATAAATAGATGTGTCATAAATAAGCATACTTTGATCGATGAATTGTGGAAACGAATTTCCAATTCAAATCAGCAGAATAATAAAAACTCTCTATAAATTGTTCTGCTTTTGTCAAACAAAATTTTATTTGAAAACGATACTTTTATAATTATAATTTTTTTTATTATAATTTTTATTGATAAAGATTATAATAGAAACGTTTAAATAATACTTAACAAATCTATGAATCACACAATAAAAAAAGTCAAATCAAAAGTAATAAGATAGAAGATTTTGAATATTATATGGCGTACGCGAAGCGCGTATTTTATTATAAAAATGAAATGACCAAAAATTATAAAACAAATGTTAAAATCTCTTAATAACAATCTATTTATTGATTTAACTAGGAATACAAACAACGAAATGTTTCAACTAAATTTATTGTATAAAAAGTTTAATATTTTTGATAACATCAGTTGACATACGGCTTCGGGTCTTTTTTTGCTTTTCATACTGTTCTATCCGCAAGGTCGCAAGTATGATTCTTTCATCGGCGCTTAAATATCCAAGTAACAGTATGATCCACTGTCATATTACTTTTTGTAATGCGATTCTTTTCTTCAATATTAATTATATTCAAAACAAGTATTTCGAGGCGACGATCATTTTCCATGGCAAGTATTTGGCGCGATTTATTCATTTCATTTGAGAAGCAAAATAATAAGAGACGATAATTATTATATTCGCAATCTTACATATGTCGCTTACTTCATTATCTACATCGATTTAATTGTTTTTGAATAGCTCTTTGAATTTATCACATATCTAGAAATAATTGGGACTTTATTATGTTACAATTTACAATGCCAACAATGATTAATGATTAATGATTAACTTAATGATAATTAAATACAATTAAATACAATTAAAACGCACAATTGTTGTTTTTAAATGAATTATGGCGATTATCGGTTCTTATTTACTTCACAAAAAATAGAATCAAATAGATTATTTAAACAATTCCTTGAGTATATACAATATTTTCTTTTCTCTTTCAGAGTCCATACTGCCGATTTATAAAAGGTTTCTCTGCTTAAGGCATTCGTTCGGTGGTATTACTAATTCGGTGAATTATTAAAAGTCTCACGTTTACTCAATAATCTAACTAGTCGCCGTTTTGTGTTTGTCTAATAATCTTATCTAAAATTCTATCTACGTCATCGAATTGTTGTACATCTCGAATTGTTGAATACAAAAAATGATTCGCATTCGATTCGATACTTAATAAAGTAAATCGTGGCATCGATCGCGGACAACGAGCTATCTCGTGCCAATGGTGAATCATTTGCAGGCAGTGATTCATTTTTACTGTCCTTTCCGATCAAGTTCACACTGGTTTACATAATAGCGAGATGATGTCTCCTATTATTTACATTGCGCTATTGCTAAGTTTGCATTTGTGTTTCATTCGCAATGAGAGATTTCAATAATCATTCTCGACGTTAAAATTGATTTGTGCGGTCTTTATGTACAATTCATTTCGGGAATACATATACATATAATTCTCTGGGAATCTGTTTTTTTCGACACATTAAAAACGTTACACTAATAAAAAATATCAACATGTCCTAAGATACGAAAAAAAGTTTTATCTCTAACTTTAATCTCAGGGGAATATAGTTTATATAAGACTTCACATAAGACACTCCGTACGTACAACTAATACAATGTTATTTCATTATAATGTCACTTATTTAGTTCGGCACAATTTGTATTTCTTTCGTATTAATCTCTTGCAAATTTAATGCTAAATGAATATAAGAGCTATAAAAATGTGAGCGAGGATATATATATATATTTATATTTCTTAAAAATATCATCAATAGCTCACTGCAGAAATACTTGAAATAAATTCAAATTTTTTTAGCTTTTGATAATATATATTACTGCGATTTCTTTTTCATATTTGTTATTTATATTTACGGATAGCATAACTATTCTTGTCACATTCAAAAAGTAGCATATATATTATTATTAGCTTCATATATATAAAACTCAAATTTTTTAAAACAAATTTTTCAAGGATCTCATTTTGTCTGAAGCATACGTGTTTAATTATTAGCAATTTAGAAACAAATAATAGTCCATTGACTATGTGTTAAACGAATGGATAGAGGGATTTTATCATTTAAAAATACAAGTAATCGCTGGGGATATATGAATACGCAAGTATTCAACAATAGCACTAATTTTTGTTTGAATATAACTATTCATCGAGAAATATCTTTTGATATAAATTTTTGTAAAACTTACATGCTATTTATCCTGGTCTAGCAACATATGTAATTTTATCTCACTAACTATATATCTCACGCATAAATCAAAATTATCGTAAAAAAATATATTGCCAGCCAAATATAATTTACATAATATTATAAATTTATAAAACAATAAAAATTCTAATTAAACATGATTATATTTATTAAATATGTTAATATTTTATTAAGTAAGTATACTTAGAAATGAAAATAATATGAATATAAAAACGTGAGACATAAAAACGTAATTTAAATAATACAAAATAAGAGAGATTTAGAAAGATTTAAGAAGATTTAATTAAAAAGGAAGTAAGAAATTATAAATAAATAAATTTATACTTTTAAAATAATAAATTTTAATAATAGTATAAATCGTATAAAGTGTTATTTTTATATAAATCTTTTCATATCAGAACAATGCATCATATTTCTAAGTACAAATTGAAAGTATAATTATTTCACATGTATTAAATTCTTTTAATTCTTAGGGAAATCGGATTTATGAGAACATATGCATATAAAACAATGACATTGATCTCGTTAGTATTTTCGTTTTTAATCGTCTCCCTCTTCCTTCGTTAAACAAAAGATCTATATCTGTAAAAGATAATTTCTTCTTACATACAAGAAGAATATATTCCACCAACACATAACGCGCTAAATCATGTACGGCATTGATTCTGCATTTCTTATTTAAAGCAGAGATACCATTATCCTTCCTTGATTATTTCGATAAATTCTTCGATAATATTTAATGTAATTCTATGTAAGTTTTCTAATTACTTCTGCATTTAAAAATTTCACATTTTTATATAATTATAATTTTTACAATAATTCTTTCCAAATAAAAATTCACATATTAGTGTTGGAAAATGGAGAATGGAAAATTAATACACTATAATTGATTCAAATTAGTTATACGAAATTTAGAAGGCATTATTCTACTTGTATTAATAAATAGAAATAATGTTATTAATTCGCCTTATTAACGATAAATTTCGTTTGAATGAACATCTTAGAAAATATTGCAGAAAAAAGTTATCGATAAAAACTAAAAGATTATCGAATAAAGTCTATTTTTGAAAATGCAGGAACAATGTCACTATTGTAAATTTAATCTAGGTAGTTTGTTATAGTATAAAACTCTGCAATATTAAAAGAGTGTAATTTTATTTGCACTGCGTGCATTTTTATTGGACTCTTTTATAAATTATATATAACAACAATGTTTATGATATAGATATAAGATGCATTGGTTTTTATTACCAATGAGCTCTTGAACTTGAGCAAACAATTGCAATTTAAATGTATTCTACTTCTTTATGAGTACATATTTATGAGTACATATTTTTATTCGACGCAATTTTGTATCATCACCCGTGAGTGTATAGCAAATCTAAAAGAAGCCTCGTCAAATTACTTTGTACAATGTTTAAAATACAATACTCTTGTGTTTGGGAAAGATTTGATTTTAAATTTGCGATTAGGAGGAAACTTTGAATTTGGAATCTATGCTTTTAGGTGCATACAGGTATTTTGAGAAATTATAGAGGAAAGTACACAAAGTTGTGTGCCTAAGAAAGAAGCAATTTTGTGTCTGAGTGCACAGCTTGTAGCGCGAACACTCACGCGTGAATAATTAATTGTGGAAAACGGGATGGATGCAGGCGCGAATGACGTTAACACTCGCAGAGTGCTTCGCCGTGATTAAACATCTCCATGTATATCGTCGAGAGAGGCGCGATTAGTACCCCGGTTGGTGCTGTAATTAATTTCCGTAATCGATCTCGTCGCAACGAGAGCTAATCGCGGTGTGTCGACACACGCTTTCGTGTATGTTCGCCTCGAGGCATGGAATTCGGATTTCCCCTACGCCATTGCACCCTAATAAGATCAGATTTTTCTTACACGAATCGGGATAATAACCGATGACACTCCGCTCAATGACGTGCTCGTAATAAATGTTTCGTCATGATTCCATATCTCGTACGAGATCTGGCAGGCTCTTGACGCGCATGTATTCGAAGCAGTTCCGTCGATCGTGTCGACGATGACGATTTGTTCCGTCCATCACGACGTCGCCGCGGTTGTTCTCCTCCACGACGCGCGAAACTCTCCCTCGTGCCAGCGAGGGTACGACGTAGTCTCGCAGATGTCGGTGCATAGACGACGGATATTGTGCTCGATAGTTGCGGAGCATCGGATGCCGGCTTGCCGCCACGCTGTACTAACTGGCGTCGTCCGGAGATCCGAAATCTTCCGTCTGCGTGGCGGCATCTTTGGCTGGAAATTACCATCGATATTTATTATCCAGCAATAAAGTAAATGTTAGAAGAGCTGAATATATTTATGAAGAGTTTTTGCGATAATTATGAAAGTCAATTTAATTTCAAAATAAATGATTTTCTCATTTCTAAAGAATGCACCATTGATATATATATATATATATATATATATATATATATATATCATCATTGATGTGTATATACATATATCTTATATGTGCATACACATCATTTGATATGTACATATATTGTTGTTAATGGAAACTATTTGAAAGTTAAATAAAAAGAAATTAAATTTTAACATTGCAGAGATGACATATCCTACACATAACGTAGAACAACGCAGATAGCAGTAAATAATAGAGTAGAAGCATATATTTATGCGACGCGTGTACCTCACGTGGATGCTACGTCACCATGTGCTATATGTCCAGTTTCCCAAGGGAGTGGCGGTGGCGTATTTGCTAATGATAATGAGGAACAACGCGCCATTGAGCATCGTTCCATTGAGCAACGCTCCAAACCTGAAATAAAAGATCGGAATCATAGATAAAAGCGCTGATTACAATAATATTTTGCTATTAATATAAAATTATCGTATATTGATATGCGGTAATCGCACATACAATATATAATTACTTCCACGCAAAATATCATTTTAAATAGGTGCGAAGCAAGTACGCGAATTAATTTGTTTTGACTTCACATGTTACGCTTCGATCGAGCCGATAATTAAATATCGCGACATATTTTTTAGTGCAATATCCACGCAAGCGCGATATAATTCCAAAAGGATATCAATTTGATCAAGAGTGCAGATATCGTATTTATTTTATATTTTATATTTTTTATTTTTGTGTAAATAAAGAAATGAACTCTTCATTAAAAAGAGAGTTGATATAATTTACTTTATTACGTTGTGTACTATTATTATCTTTTTTTCTCTGAAAATTAAAAATACTATCTTGTGATATTTTTTGATATTATGAAATACAAAATTGTGATGAAAATTAAACTAATTAAGCGACTTACGAAAAATTCCTATATTCGTTTTCGATATAAAATTTGAGTGCGCAATTTTAGTTCTTTGGTGATAAAAGAACTTGGACATTTCCATTTTCTAGCCAATTTACTTTAATCTGAAATTATAAAGATATTAAAATTTATAAAGATATAAAATTATAAAAACTTTACCTACATATATTTGTCTCAAAAAAATTTATTTATTAATAAGGATTAATTATGCCACAGAGTAATTGATATTTTGCTTAAATGTTTCGCGGTATGAACGGTAACCCATTATGGGACAATCAATAGCAGCAGCCGTAAGTGCAATGCGATATGTGATTTCAAATGTGATTACGACGCAGTTCGCATTTACGCGTATGTGATGATGCTGATTATTACTAGTGATCACATTAAATCTCCGTTTATGGATGTCACATAGAGCGCGAGAATCCGGTTAATGCTGATAATGGATGCCGTCAAAAGGCTGATTTTCTCGGTTTAATTAGCGCAAAACACTGATTATGTTAATTCTCTCGCTGCCAGTGCGAGATCATTGATGTAAAGGCAACCGGATGAATTCTGTCGTAATTAACATAATAAATAAGAGGTAAAGAGTGTGGGAAAAAATTCATAGGTCGAGAATGTATTATTTTACATATAATAGATTTCAAATTTTTTGTTGGAAAAAGACCGTGTAAATACCTATGAATATATTTTTAAATTTTGATTAAAGAAGTTTTTTAAATGCAAATATACAATTTCAATAATTGATTTCCATTGTTATGGAAATGTCGCCGCGAAACTTAGCGCAGACAATTTTTTTCGATCGACTGATTTTATTTTTAATATGATATGACATTCCTTTGACATATTTACCTGATAAATCGACACCCGCGATGCTGCAAACTGCATCTAAGCCACCGGTGCTAGTCGCGCAACAGTGTTGTTTCGTTCCTAACGGTTTAGACCTGCACAGAATCTGCATATAAAAAGGGAATTAAAATTATCCGAATTATCAATCATGATGTTGCATCGATGGTGGAATAATACCTGTCGGCTTGCGAACGATAAATCAATCACTCCAAGTAGAAGCAGATTTTATAAGCTTTATTGATTATCTACACGATAAAGTCAGAATATCTTTTATAAGAACGAATAATGTATAGTTATATCTTAAGCTTCCTGGTGTATGTATAGTTATATCTTAAGCTTCCCTCCCCTCCAATCGAACTTTACCACAATGTATTCATGCATGCATTTATGCATTTTATTTATCAGATTAACGTAAAGTAGCTTCTATAATTGTCAGCGATATATATTGTTGCGCTTTCGTAAACTTTGCGGTACGCTCCGAAATATAATGCTTGAAATGAAACGTCAGTCCTCAAGGAATATTGCTGAATATGCAAATGCACATTTGGTGAACTGCATTTTCCTACATATATAGAATTGTATTCCGAGTTAAGTAATATATTAATAGTTTATAAGAATTTATCTATCTCGTAATAACGATCTATTAAAGTTATTTTACTCTAAATTAGGATTATGATGAATAACTTATCTAAAATAATTTTATTTTTATATAATAATTTTTCTGCAGACTATTTTTTCTTCTTTTTTTAAACAATAAAATTTGTAGTAATTATTGAAAAATGTTACATTTCATACAGTATAAAATTTGTTTTATTATATGAGGTAATTTGCACATTTATATGTGTCTACATACAAAACATTTTTTTAATCAGAAGAGAATATAAGAAATTTAGAGTATTAAGAATATTACGAATACAAGAATTCGGTACTCACAATTCGATTTGGAATACAATCTTGTTTGAGTCTAATATAAATTTCATGGGCAATATCTAAGGTAGTAAAAACTAAGATTCAACCGCAATATCCAGTATGTGATTCCCCAAGCTATTTACGCTGTTAAGAGCATGCTCGTATCTATGCAAAGTGATTGTTATAAGCTGATCGATCTATCGCTTTATCAAAACCCCAACACATATTAAATATTATCGCTTGCCTTATAAAACTTAATAAAAATAATATATAAAAGTATATTATTGAATTTTTTGCATATATCTTTATCTTTTTTACGTATGTTGTCCAATAATCATTCTCATTTTTATTATTATTAATAGATACTTTACCGAAAATAATCAATTTTTCTCGATTTCGAGGCAAGATTATTATTTATAACTTTTTAATATTAAATAATTTTTACAAATGAGATGCTGCAACTGAAAAAAATAACACGCGAGAACTAATTAGTATATGCCAACACTTTTAATATTGATTCGATTTCGATTGATTCGAGTCTCTCACTCAGTGATGTAAATAAAAAAATAAAATAACTTGAACTTTTGAAGTGTTCAAATACGCAATTTCGCGTATTTGAAATGTTCGCAATAATCCGCCGATCGATTTCCATTTTTTTAAACGAAAACGAACGTTACACACGGTACAATAGCATAGTGATTTTACTTCGAGTAAAACGAGTAAACTCATTCGTCATGCGTCTAATCGATAGTCCGCGCAGGCCAATTGTAAAGAAATATCAAACATGCTGTGTGAGTACATTTTACTGTACTTGCATGTAGTTTCGCATCCGGCGAAGAGCGTAGAGAGAAGGCCGCGGTGCACTTCGCACGGCGATTAAAGATTTACTGCACGCCGACGAGCTTTTCGGAATTCATGGCCTGTAAAGTCGAAGCGCCAAGATCTATGTGGCCGCGACCGTGCTACGCGACGTAGCTCGCCGTTTCCCCTTGTTCCTGCTGAATCCGAAAAGAGAATTCAGCGAAGAAGAAGGAACCTCTGGATCTGTCGCGGAAACGTATCGGACGCGCTGCGTAACGCATTTTGCACCGGATAAATCTTGTTTTCTCAGCAGGTGCTGTCGTGTTTTCTTGGAGGGTCACGTTAAGTCGTTCGTCTTCATTCGTTCGTCGGCAACATGAACCGCCATTCCTTTCGAGAAATTTACTGATTCTGTTGTAACGCCGGGCACACGATTGATTTCACGGAATAAAAGTGAAACGTGAAATTGCAAGACGGAAAATGCGAAACTGTGATATAACGAAAAGGTAAAGCTAACAGAGGGAAAGGACCAAGTAAATAGAAGAAAGCATTTGCCTTGCGTTTACCTTACGAACTTACTTATCGAACCTTTTTAATCGTATAAATTTTTTTATTTTCCACGCACCGTATTTCATATTTTGCATATCGCTATCTTTTTCGCTATTTTTTTAATCATATTTTGCTGAATTTAAATTTACTTGAATTTATAATATTATATATCTTTATAATAGAGAATACAGAAATGTTATATTTTTATAATGTTATATTTATATTTTTTTATGTTTTATTTATATTTTTATGTATATATTTTTGTTTTTTATTAGTTATATATTATTATATAACTAATAATATAACTATTATCTATATAAATCCTAATATGATGTACGTAATATGAGAAAGATTTTTATTCTTACAACTCATGTGATTTCTTTTATAAAACAGAAAGCCCAAATTTTTTTATGAATTGGAAAAAATTATTTCTCAGCTGCTAAGTGCATTGAGTTGAACTTTAATGAAGATTTGAAAATATGCGTTTCCGAACTCCCACTCTCACGTAACAAGATTTATATAAAATGTTTCACACGTGTAAAATATGCGTTTCCGAACTCCCACTCTCACGTAACGAGATTTATATAAAATGTTTCACACGTGTAAAATAATGTTGGTCGTAATAGTCTGATGTGTAATTTACTAAAGCTAAACGCTTAGATATTTTTTTAGCCAAATACAAAGAAGCTAAATATATTCGATTATTTCAAAATAATTTTATCAAATAAAAGCATAAAATTAATAATTACTTTTATCAAAAAGTAAATTTTTATTATTGTAAAGCAGACTCGATTCGAAAGACAAATAAAATTTCATAATTTATTTTTTAATTATTTTATTCGTATTTTCTTTTTAAGTTTCTGTTTCTATTTATCATTCCATTTATCACATATTGCAAAGCCAAAAGTTTATTAACAATAAAGCATTTAAATTATAAGCATTTGTAATTACCTTAGTATAAAGAAGTTCTCTCGAAATTCGGCGGAAATGATTGTTGAGCAGCCAATAGAGAAAAGGATTCCAGAAGCTATTGGAGAGAGCCAGCCACGTGGCCAGGAAGTCGAGAAACGGCGGCGGCTTGCTTCCGGTGCAGGCTGCAACGACTTCCTGAATTGTCCATGGTGTGACCATGACGATGAAACCTAGACTCATTGCAGCCATTGTTCGCGAAGCTGAGGTCGACAGTCGTCTCTCGTGGGCGACAAGCTGAAATATGTAAGATGTCTTCTCTATAATATTTTCAACTCTACATGACAGTCCAAATATAACTTCTTGTGATGAATCTACTTTCTCCGTCTACTGGTCCATACAGTTGAGCTTAATAAATTCACGAATCCGAGCTCAATGTTGCGGATACATACATTCATATATGTATAATTACGTACACACGTTTTTATAAATAATTATATAATAATGCACAAGAAACATTTAATAAAAAGTGGAAGTAAGATAATTTAGGAATATCTTTCAAATTTGTTTGCAGTTTTGTCTGAATAAAAAATATAATTCTTATGGAAACGAATTGGGAAACGGTATAATATTTTAAGTAAATAGCATCTTTATTTAGCATTTTATGATGACAATAGCTTTTTTAAAACTCTTTTTTATAATTGAGTATTAAAATTCAGGGTAGAATGTTATGTATAATTTTACATGCCGTAATATAAAGATTTTGAATAATTAGAAATTTACATATGAATAAAATATAGATTGAAATATACGACAAATTACAAATTATTTAAAATGGGCTTAATGAATGATACATTTATAGGAATATCAGAATCAAATAGCGTAGAATTAAAAAATTTATTTTTAACGGCATTCTTTATACCGACATTTCATTCTTCATTAAGTATTCTTCTCAGAAGATGGAACTCTTTAATAACTCCTTCGACTGATGAATTTTTGAATAGGAAGTTGAGCTTAACGTCAGCTTGATTACCGCCGAGTTTCAGACTTTGACGCTTATATTTAATTACAGTGATCATACCGCGAGCGATATTTGAATAAAAAATTAAACAGAACTGTTTTTCTTTTTATACTGGACTTACGACGTCCCAGAAAATCTAACTTTAAAATCTTACTTCCCAACATCTTTAATATCTCATTACTATCTTGCAAATAATCTTCTTAAAGTTCAAATTTCATCCTATAAAGAAGTTTTAAGTACGGCGCGTCTTTTACGATCACTATCGACATCCCAAATCTATAACACTCTGTCTTTTGATATTCACTAATGCAATTGTTCGGAAAAGTAACGGTCGCACATTATCGATATTTCCTTAAAAGCCTGCTGATCCGTCTCAAGAACTTTTGTATCTCAATTACTTTTATAATTCCGTAAATGATTATATTTTATGTCAAGTCAAGACAGATAACGTTTTCTTCAATAATACATTACGTTAACTAACATTGTTCTCATACGAAGTAAAAAAATATATTTCCATTCATCGCGAAGCGAAAACATTCTTTTTGAGGAATAAGAGCAGAAAATTAGGATCTTTGAAATAATAGACAGGCGACATTACAATTAAAAAATTGCATCTAGAACAACGAGAGGGAATTAGGTGGTTTTTAGCGGATGGAAGGTGTGACACTTGACCAGGTGGTAAATTTCTCGCATCCCAGTCTCAGAAGCCTAATCTTGAAGACAGACGTAACGTCAAAAAAGATCCGGACGAATGGTTCCTTAACTCGCAAAAGGCTTGCCGACGCGTCTCAGTCTGGACTCGTCCTTTAGGCCGGCTTGACACGGTTACGAAAAGTCGCTAAGCGCTAAGCTCGTCAGCATCAAAGCTTCTCGTCGTGCGGCAGTAAAGGGATTACGAATCTGCTCGTTTAGCTGAATCCGTCCATTTCCACTCCCTTCGCCCGCTATCTTCCGCCTCTTCTCTTTCGCTCCGTTCTCTTCCGCGTCCCTTTTCCACACGGCGTCTTCTATACGTTAGCTCTCTTCGGGATTACAACGTTAATGCCTGGACAGGTGTGACCTACCATGGTTGGTAAATGTAGGATCCTTTAAATGTCCGGTAAAACGAGCCGGCGAATCAAAAGGATACTCTCGTTGAGACGGTTTCGTATCAAATGAAATATTGCTGCTGAGTGTGCAAATTTTACTTTGAGAATACATAGAGAAAATATAAAAATCATAATCTCCAAGAGTGAATGAAAGAGAAACTTTATCTTATTCATTATCGATTCATCACCTTCTTTTTGTCTAAGTTGAATAGATTGAGGGGAGAGTCTCGCGGGATATATTCGCGAAGAAAGGCGAGGAAGAAGACAAGAATCTAGACGGAAATGCCGCCCGAGCCATTAGCATATCATGGCGGTGCTGGCAGCGGAAAGGTAAAGCGTGAGACAAACTATTCGGTCGAAGTATTAGCATTCCGGTTCGATTTATCGTTCTAACTTCAGCGAGTAGGAAATCCCTATGCTCTCTTTAACGTAGCACGTATCTCGGTACATGTGCCGTACCGAGACTATTCTTGCTGGAGCTTATACATAACTCGTTAAACTTCCACCGAACGTAACTACCGTCTCTCTGTTATAATGCAACGAAACTTTCGCCTCGATGGAATAAGAATCCTTGCTTCAAGATATCAAAACTCGAAATTGACTATTCAGTACGAACTGTGCAAATGAATACAACTCTATTAATATAACTCTATCTTTCTCGTTACGGTATATACATGTTTTAAAGATATTTCCGAGTCATCTCTTTTATTTTTCTCCTTTTTCTCGTGAATTCTGGAATATAAGTTATGTGAAATAATTCTTGGCAGAGTTCAAAAACCTCGCGTTAAAGTTAAGTATTATTATACTTCATTCACGTTTCATATAAAGTACGGATTTTTAAAAATATATGTACAAATATTTTTGTGTATATAAGATTTGTGTATATAAGATTTTACTTTAAATCACATACTTAAACGGGTTGGTTTATTCAATATGTGTATATATATATATATAGGATAGCTACAGAAATAACATGCACTGCAGAGATCTTGATTTCGCATAACATATTTTACGTTAGATGCTTCTTATTCTATCAAATTTGTCATAAAATTGTATTTTATCGACAAACTATTTCTGAACGTTATGTATTTTGAGTTTACGAGTTCCCGGAAACAGAAATTATCTGTCATGCATAATAATTTCAGAAGAAAATTCTAAGACCTTTTCAATTCCATACAGTCAAGGAGAATAATTTGTCGAACCGAGAGAAAATCAATGCTTACTGTAATTTATAAGTAAAGAATCATAAATAGACATAAATTTCGATATCAATACAGATATAATAATGTATAAAAAGTTATAATAAATTGAAACTATTGCAAGCTTGATTTTACATCTTTTTCAATTAATATAATTTGTGAACAAAATACGTTAATTTATATTTTGGAATAAAAAATTAATTTTTTTTTATATTCTGCATGACAAATTGCAAATTTTAAATTTATATTATCATATTTGAAGATTTTTATACACTATGTTGCAGTTGCGTAAACAGTAGTATGTAAAAAAATTAAAGATTTGTAATACCCACAAAAGGAATTATAAAGTAAGTAAGCTTTTAATGCTGTTTGTAATTCTAGGAATAATCACATTATTACAGAAGATGGCGCAACATAATGTGCATGTGTTAAATTTATATATCTCTCCATGTGCCATTCGCAGAATGCGCACATTTACAACAATGCAGACATTGTTTCCATCATAATTATGCAAGGTGTTACATTAGAATAATCTGAATAATATGTAGATATGCATTAAAGAGATTATCTATGTTAAAACTTGCGCATTACCTAATCTTCTTAAATAAAATTATTTTTAGAAAATTTGATTTCCAAAATGCAAATTATGGTATAAAAATATAAACTACAAATATATTAAACTTATCTTTTTTTGTATTACACAGTACATAAAATTATAGACAGAATATTATCGAAGATTTTGATTTCTGGATTTATTAAATCTAAACTGAGTTTTACGTGCATAAAGTACAAAAATATAGCGTTGAACGTATTATTTGGCAAAAATCAAGCTTTTGAAACAATCATTATTTAATAAAACTTGAACTTCAAATGAAAATCATACTTGCATATAAAACGATTTTAATTACGTTTATTTCGACATGTGCGAACTTTCCAATTATAATCTAATTAGGGAACCTATTATTTAGATACATTTAGTTATATAGAATGTTCGATCGTTAAATCGAGAACATTCATATAGGAAATAATTACGTTCACTAATTGAATATATGTTAATGAGGATCGTATGCTTAATGAGTAATGTTCAATTTCCTCTTCAATGTGAAATAATGTTTCTACGACAGGTTAAATATAGTTAGTACATGAGCGTTTAATCTTACTCCAATACTTCAACGGTAAACTTTACAAATGCTCTGTGCTCTTTTTAACTTTCTGCAGTTTACCAGAATAAGAATTTTTTCTACACACACGAGAATATGCATCTTTCTACTAAAAATAGAATCTACTAGTAAATCATTTGTAGTAACGATAAATAAAAGTCTTATTGAACACGCTTCTTTTAATAAAAGATTGCAAATGTTGTAGCATCTAAAAATTTATTTATTTAATTTATTTATTTAAATCTAATGTTATATTTTATGTAGTATTAATTTTAAGCAAAATGCAAAGATATATCGTTTTCGAGTCTTTTCGTGGACAATTTATCTTCTATTAAATTTGTTCATGCGACATTGTCGTCGTGAAGTAATTTTTGACGTCAGAAATGAGTGTTTCCGAAGTCTTTTCTACAAAATTCCGAATAAATATTCGCGCCAGCGAGACTTACAAGGCACTTTCGCGTAAATTGCGCTTAAATTACGAGTAAACGACGTGGATCAGGGTGCGAGTGGGTGGAACTAATAAAGGACCTCCCACACTTGTTCCTTTTTCTCGTTGCTCTATTGTGATGGAAGTAAGCTGGCGATGGCTTGTACGCGCGCTGTTCTTATCGCACCACTAAAATCTTGGTGATTACGTACGAACTCTCGCTGCCAAGGGTTCCTCTCACTGAACATGCGAAAAAAAAATAAAGTCTCATAAACGCCTCTCCAAAAGACTATAGCTGTTGGCTACGGCGCACGCCGCCTCTTGGAAAAAGGATTTTAAGTGGAAAATACTTTTTCACCGCGAATACGAAAGCCGGCACCTTGACACAAGGGGGATTATAAC